TTGCACCAAGCACTGGGGTCCCCGCAGGAACAGGGACCCTCTCAGAGTGGCAGCCCCAGCCAGCAGCCCAGGACCTGCTGTCAGGATCCAGTTCCTGCTGCCTGTCACTCAATGCTCACCCGGGATGGGCCCAGCAACTTCCCCATGGCCTTTGCTCCCAGACAAACTGGAGGGCTCAGGATACAGGAGACTGAGGAGGACGCACTTGGACCCAGCAGAGGGTGGGGTCTGGACACAGTCCATGGGAGCCGCCGACAAGACGAAGAAACGTGCCCCACCTTCTGGTACTCGGGGTAAGGAAGGTGCATCTGCCCTGCTGGTGGGCAGGCCCTCGACGGACAGGGCAGTGGGCAGGAAGGCCGGCTCCAGGAGGAAAGCAGGGGTAGGGACCCGGTGCTGCGCACCTCAGTGGTCACCGCTGATGGAGCAGTGCCAGGGGTAGGCAAGGAAGGGCTGGGGTGGCTCGGGGGTGACTGTGACCCTGTCCCAGCTCTACCCTTGGACACTCGGGGTGGGGGGCAGGCATGGTGTGCTTTCACCATCCACCCTGCTGCTCCTACCACCTTCTCAAGGTTTGGGAAGGAGACCCTGAGTCCACACGTGGGGACCAAGGCCTCGTGCCTGCCCCATTCCCACAGGGAGCTGACACCCACCAAGGGGCTTTTCTCATGCTGTGCCCACTACTGCCTGTGGAACTGAGTCTAGCACAGCACTGAGGGGCCCCAAAGGGACCAGAAAGCAGTGCTGCAGGAAGAGGAGGCCCCCTTGAAAGGCTAGACCAAGACCAGTAGACCAGCAACTGTGCTCTGAGCATCTGCCCAGAGAAATGCACATGCGTCCACACAGAAACGCATCTGCCCCAGAGAAATGCACACACACTCACACAGAAACACACCTGCCCCAGAGAAATGCACATGCGTCCACACAGGAACACATCTGCCCCAAATGCATAGGCATCCACACAGAAACACATCTGCCCAAGAGAAACGCACATGCGTCCACACAGAAATGCATCTACCCCAGAGAAACACACACGCATCCACACAGAAACGCATCTGCCCCAGAGAAATGCACACACATCCACACAGAAATGCACCTGCCCCACAGAAATGCACGTGTCTACACAGGAACACATCTGCCCCAAATGCATAGGCATCCACACAGAAACGCATGCCCCAGAAAAATGCACATGCGTCCAAATAGAAACACATCTGCCCAAGAGAAACCCACACGTGTCCACACAGAAATGCATTTGCCCAAGAGAAACCCACGAGTCCATGCACAAATGCATCTGCCCCAAATGCAAACGCATCCACGCAGAAACGCATCTGTCCCAGAGAAACGCACACGCGTCCACAAATGCATCTGCCCCAGAGAAATGCCTAAGCATCCACAGAAATGTATACGTGTCCACACAGAAAAGCATCTGCCCCAGAAAAAACACACGCATCCACAGAAATGCATCTGCCCGAGAAGTGCATGTGTCCACAGAAATGCATCTGCCCAAGAGAAATGCATATGCATCCACAGAAACGCATCTGCCCCAGAGAAACGCACACACATCCACACAGAAAAGCATCTGCCCCAGAAAAACTCAGACGCATCCACAGAAACGCATCTGCCCAGGAGAAATGCATACCCGTCCACAGAAATGCATCTGCCCAAGAGAAATGCATACCTGTCCAAGAGAAACGCATACGCGTCCACACAGAAATGCATCTACCCCAGAGAAATGCACATGCATCCACACAGAAATGGTGTACAGGTGTGCAAGGCTGCACGGTTCACAACGGCCAGTAGGTGGAGCCCACCCAGTGTCCACTGAGGGCAGCTGTGTGAGGTGGCGTGCAGTTCAGCCACAGGGTGGAGGCAGCGCCATGTGCTACCACGTGGGTGCACCTTGAGGAGACAACGCTGAGGGGAGAGGCAGGAGTGGAAGGCCACGGTGTGCCCAGGTTCGTTTCCATGACACGTTCAGACCAGGCAGAGCTGTAGAGCCCGGTAGAATGGCTGCTGCAGGGTGTGAGGAGAGGCTGGAGTGGGTTCAGGTCTCCTCTGGGTATGGGGCGATGAAGTGATCGAAGTGATTGAGGTGATGGTCATGTAATTATGGGACTGCTCAAAACCACTGAGTTGTGGACGATGGGTGAATGTGGGGAGCACCCACCTTCTGCAGAGATCACCTGGTGCACCCCAACCCTGCTGAGGCCAGCTAAACCAATCTGGCCAAAATAGCCACACCTCTTCCTAGAAGCCACAAGAGCTGATGGGCGGTGAGGAGACAGTAAAAGCAGAGCTGGTGGCTGGTGGCAAGCCCTTCGCAGCCTCTCAAGCCGGGGATGGAAGTCACAATGCAGCCCACAGAGCCAGGAAGAAGCGGGGCGACAGGACGCTGCCTACGTGGGGATGCAGTTGCCAGGAAGAAGCAGGGCAATGGGACACCGCCCACGTGGGGGTTCTGCAGTCGAGGGACCCAGGGCCACTGACAGCCTTCTGAGAGACAGCCGTGGCGAGTGTGAGCCGGAGTCACCTGGCGATCGCAGCACAGACCTCTCCCAGCCAGAGGCCAAGGGTGGCCTCGTGGTCCCCTTGAGTTCCAGCTGGGGTAGGGTTAGACTCATGCTCAATTTACAGTGCTCCAAAGAGAAGGAACCCGTCGTTCTGCAGGCGGTCATCTGCCCTCATCCGTCCACTCCCGGTAAAGCCAGAGAGGTTGAGAGACAAGATCAGGGGACTAGCGGGCACCAAGGCTGAACCCAGGATCAGGCTCTCACTAGAGCCCACGGTGCTGGAGGAGCCCACAGCGCTGCAGGGCCCCACAGTGCTGGAGAAGCCCACGGCATTGGAGGAGCCCATGGCGCTGCAGGAGCCCACTGCGCTGGAGGACCTCACAGCGCTAGAGGAGCCCATATGGTGGGCTTGGAAGAGAGGGTGGGAAAGGCATGGGGAAGAGTGAGCTGAGACAGGCGAGGGGAAGCGGCTGGGAGGGGGTGCTGGCTCTCCAGGTAATCCTACTACGCACCTGCCACAGGCTCAGCCAGGTGGTACCTGGACCCAAGTGTGTGGACCAGAGGGCTTCTGTGGGCCAGAGACTAGGCCGGGTGTGCCTGAGCCAGAGACGGTGCTGGGGTGGGGACACCACCTCTAAGCCCAGCTCGGCAGGCACCTGGGCCATGGGATGAGGTTCAGAAGCAAAGGCGGAACTCTTCTTCCTTGTGTGACCAGAGACATAAGGTTAAATGAAGAGTTTGCGAAGCAGATTCTGTAGCAGGTCCTATGCTCAGAACGTTTCTAAGTGTGTGCATCTAACAACCAAATGACCGAGAGTGGCCTTGTCCTGGTTCTGCAGCAGCCCACCTGGGCTCTGGGGCAGGGGCACATTCGGACCACCTCACTACTCATGCGGCGGCCCGGCCCCTCCCTCCCACCTTCCCCCATGGTCCCACACATGCACAGGCAAAGAAAGTCCTTCAGCCAGAAAGTGACTTGTTGGGCCATGTGGACAAGGAGGGGCTTGTCCCTACTGCTCACAGGGGCTGTGGGGGTGACCCCCACGCTGGCCAAGGGGCTGCCTGGAAAAGTGGGGGTGGGGTGGGGAAGGGGAGCTCCTGCTGCCTTAGAGCTGGGCTTTCTCCTGATCCATTTCAACCTCATCCAAAATGTACTTGATGAGCCAGCCAATCTGGTTTTTACCCTGAAGAGTGTATTTTAAAGGTTTTATTTCAGCAGCTCTGCAACCATTTACACAGCTGGAAACAAAGTTCACAGACGCGCCTGAGCTTCAGACAGGGTCACCTCCCAATAAGCCTCTGTACACGGGAAACATCCCAGGTGGAGTGTGCGCTTCCTACACTGACCCACGACCAACACTGCGTGGCCTTCACTGCCTTAACCTGCCAGAAACTCACGCCAGCCCATGGTCCAGCAAAAGCCCCTGCGCACAGAGTCCCTTGGAACGTCCAGCCCCCTCCTGATCACATGGCCCCCCCGGGGGCTGTGGTCACCGCCGCTTGTCACAGAGTACTGACCACATGCAGCCAGCCAAAAACGGTCCAAACTCAACGTACAGTTTCTACCGATCGCGTCCTGCTTGTGCACCACTGAAATCAGATTCCTAAATCAACCAGAGCAAGTCCGACACTGCCTGCACTCAGGGACCCTGGCACTAAAGCTGAAGCTGTGAATGCTGCGACTGCTGCTCCTGTTCACTAACCGCTGACAAACCTAGCCAAAAACCACAGCAAACGCCCTTCTCTAGAGTGGCCCCCAGGATCAGCTCTCCTATAGAACCAACAGGCAGTGCGGTCACAGGCCAGGAAGCACGTGCCATTGGCTCTGAGCCAGCACAGCCTGGGGTCATCAGGAAGCGCTATGGGCTGAGCTTATCCAGCCCCTCACTCTCCTCACTCCTGAGACAAAACGTACCTCCCCATCCCTCCTAAGGGCCCTGGAGGGCAGCAGGTAGCCCCCCATTCCCAGTTGACCCTTCTGGGAGACAGAAGCCTTGGCTCCATGCAGGTGGGCCATGCCAAGGATCACCCTGGCAGTGCACAAGCTCACACAACCCAACCCACCCACCTAGCCCCCACCCTGTCCACCATGTGTGGGGGGCTGCAGGTTGGAGGGGTGGGGTTGGGTTGGGGGTGTGGGGTTGGATGGATATTGGGGTTGGGCTGGGGATTGGGTGGATATTGGGGTTGGGGTAGGAGGTGAGGTTGGTGGTGGGGTAGGGGTTGGGGTGGATATTGGGGTTGGGTGGATATTAGGGTTGGGATAGGGTCGGAGGTTGGGGCTGGGCTGGGGGTGTTGGGTTTGGGGTGGGGGTTGGGTGGGTATTGGGGTTGAGGTTGGGGAAGTGGGGTTGGCAGTGGGGTAGAGTTGGGTGGATTTGGGGTTGGCATGAATACTGAGATTGGGTTGGGGGTGTTGGGTTTGGGGTTGGGATTGAGGTGGAGCTTGGGATGGGGGTGGGGGTGTGAATGGGCTTCGCAATGCTTTACCAAGTCCCAGTCTATGCTGCGGAAGAACGCGTGGGACTTAATGTCAGAGAATCCAGTCTGTGGCCGGCAGCCGAGTCTCTCTTTGGGATCCTGGAGGTCAGAGTTCAAACAAGGACAAGTCAGCCCCACCCTGGAAGCCCCATGACCCGTTCCCTCGGTGCCGCTCCCAGCACTGACAAACCCTCCCCCATGCTCTGACCCACCCGGTGGAAATCAGATGTTTCCTGTACTGAATATGACTGCCCCCGACACGGTCAGCTTCGTTCCATTTTCCTGGGGCATCTGCTCTTGTTTGATTGTTAGGTATGAATAAAAACAAGCAATTCACAGAACACAGAGCTCAAACACCGAAGCAGAAAATCAACCCACATGCAATATGCAGCAGCCAATGTGAAAAAACGGCCAACAGCTGTGAGCGGGTGCTGCCCCCAACACGGAGGCACAAACGAGAGAGCTTGTCAGCGTGGCCAGGAACGTACCTTATTTAAAAATCCTTTTAAAACGTGGGAGGCTTTGACGGAGAGGAACCGGGGAATCCGGATGGGCTTCTCCAGGATCACTGCAAGGAAGGAGCCTGGTGAGGACTCTCCTGTGTCATGTGCGGTTTGCCCAGCACTGCCTGGACTCCACTTCTGAGCAGGAGCTTTGGGAGCTCAGGCTTGGGGCCCCGGGACCCACTCCCTTCCTACGGACCAGCAAGATCTAGAACCTGGAGTCCCTCTGAGTCTTCCCTGGGCCTCCCGGTTACATGCAGTGGGATGTGTGGCAACCAGCGTGAACCAGCAGCTCCCCCTCCTCAACCCCGAGAGCAGGTATGTGGGTGTCTCATGCTGGCCACCAGAGGGCACTGCTGAGAAACCTGCGGTCCCAGACCCCACATCCCTGGCACTGATAGTGCCTCCACGTGGGAAGGAGCCCATGATGTTGGCTGTGGGTTTTGGAGACAAGGGCTCTGCTGCTGACCAGGGCAGGAGAGAGTATGAGCTGAATCGAGACAGGTTCTCCTTCCTGCTGACCCAGAGCGAGTGCGGTGCGGTCACCCCACCCCATGGCCACACTTCCATGTGCACAGCCCGGTGGGCAGCATGTAACAGGGTCCAGCCAGGAGGAACGGTCCCCGGTGTGCTGTGTGCACTGTGACTCCCAGCCCGGGACTCCACCACCTGCACCTTTGAAACAGGAAGAAGACAGCCGTGCAGTGAGGGTGAGCGCAGGTGGGCACGAACCTTGGAAAAGGTAGTCCTCTGTGTTCATGTCTGGGTTGTCAGTGATGATGTCGAACGGGGAGCGCCCAGCCATCATCTCGAACATGAGGACGCCCAGCGCCCACCAGTCCACGCTGAACCCTGGGGAGAGCACACGGCATCACCTGACAGGTGCCACGCGGGCCGGTGGCAGGGTGAACCTGGCTGGGGTTGGTTTTCATGCCCAGTCAACACGAGTGGGAGCCAGGCTTGAGCGGGCAGCACACAGGCGCCTGTGACTTCCGCTTCCCGACTTGGCTCAGCAGTCCGGCCTCCCCGCCAGCGTCCTGGGCACCTGATCTTCCTCCCCGTCCCTGACACATGCAGGCTGTCTCTGGGCTGTGGGTCCTGCTGGGGTGCCTGTGACCACAGAGTTATGAGGCCCTGGTGGGACCTGCGGACGGCCCTCCTCTCGTGTCTGCTTTTACAGAACTAAGCTTGAAGAAGCCCTTTTCTACAGTAACGGAAATCCTCTCCTGTGTCTTCTTCCACAGTCGTTTTGCTTTTTAGAGATGTTCCATCAGGCTGCTGGGAATGTGTTTTAGCGAATGAGTAGGAGACCCTGACCAGTTGTGCCCAAGGATGGCAGCTCCCCCGGGTCCCCAGAAGTCCACCTGCTCCCTGCTGAGGTGAGACGCTGCCACCATCCCACATAGGATCCCCGTCCTGAGCTGGGCTCTAGACTCCATCCCAGTCCTCCAGTCTGCTGTCTGTCCTTCTCTGGCTACTGAGACTTCCACTGTGGCAGCTGGGGAGCCCAGTTATCCTGGGCAGAGTCACCTGCCCACCCTGCCTACCCCACCCGCTGTGTGATAGCAAAAGTATGTGTGAAGATGTGTGAACGCACACTCATGACACGCCTCATTGAAAACTCCAGGATGCAAAAGTGGATGGGGTGAGTACAAACAGCAAACGCGTGCACACAGACACACACACATACATGAACACTCAGCAAAACACACCAGCACGCACAGGACTGCACACACGTGCCCACCACGTCCCTGTTTCACACCCAGGGAGGGGAGAAGAGCAGAAACACTCAGCGTGCGTGGCACCCTCAGCTGTAGAGGCTGTGGGGTCCTGTCTACATGTTCCTGCACCCACCTCCCCCCCCCACACCAGACACCTGCTTCTCCCCCAGCTGGCTACGCCACAGCACAGGGGCTCCAGCCCCGTACCTGTCCTGCCCCAGCCTGGCTTTGCTTTCCTCGTCCTTCCCTTCCCTGCTCCCCTGGGGCTCCTTGGTAGGAGGAATCCCGTGACCTCCCCCAGGGGCCGCTCAAGTGGACACAGGAGGTTTTCAAGGATTCAAATAGGGGCTGAGGCCAGATGACGACTTCCGGCTGGGATAAAGAGTGCGTCTGTGGATTCTGGGTGTAAGACGGTCGAGGAAACCTCTCCCTGGCTGCTGGGTCAGCCCGAAGCCGCCTTACCTCGTGTGCTCTGAGAGGGGACGGGGCAGCGGCACTCACCGTACTCCTCTCCCCGCAGGATTTCGGGGGCGATGTAATTTGGGGTTCCGCAGAAAGTGCTCGTCGTGTCTCCAGGGCCCAGGCCTTCCTGTGGGGGCAGAGTTATCGGGAGGCGGTTCCCGTAGACCTGACCCCGTGGGCAGGTGCCCCAAGGCACGCACCTTGCACATGCCGTAGTCTGTGAGCTTGATGTGCCCGTCCGCATCCAGGAGGACGTTGTCCAACTTCAGGTCCCGATAGATGATCCCCCTCTCGTGCAGGAAGTTGAGGGCAATGCAGATCTCAGCTGCGTAAAACCTGGGGGCAGGGACGCCGTCATGGGGGCAGCGCCTGTGCCAGAGGCTGTGCCAACAGCTCCAGGTGGGGACCACACGCTCCCGCCTGCCCCACCACGGGCCAGCATCCTCTCAGTGACCAGGCCCAGCATTTCAAAGTGCAGTGCACGGGGCCAGGAAGGGAATCGCCAACGAAAGCTCCCGGACACCACCCCACGTGCCTTCAGGTGGCCTGCTGACAGAGCGACGTGGCGGCTTCCACACAGGGAGGAGTGGGGAAATCAGAGTTTATTAAACAGTAACATTAAATAATTGCAAACTTATTTATTTATTTATTTTGAGATGGAGTCTCGCTCTGTGGTCCAGGCTGGAGTGTGGCTCGATCTCAGCTCACCGCAACCTCCACCTCCCAGGTTCAAGCAATTCTCCTGCCTCAGCTTCCTGAGTAGCTGGTATTACAGGTACCTGCCATCACACTCATCTAATTTTTGTATTTTTAGTAGAGATGAGGTTTTACCATGTTGGTCAGGTTGATCTTGAACTCCTGACCTCAAGTACCCTCCCACCTCAGCCTCTCAAAGTGCTGGGATTACAGACGTGAGCCACTGTGCCCAGCCTAAGAATGGAATTATTGTGGTTAGCAACTCAATTTCCGGGTGTGTACCCAGAAGAACCGGAAGCAGTTTAAGAGATTATACCCATTTTCACAGCAGCACTGTTCACCGTGGCCAACATGGACACCACTCAAATGCCCCCCCCAGGGATGGATGGATAAGCAAAGTGTGGTCCCTCCATCCAACAGGACATTATCCAGCTTGAAAAAGGAAGGCAATTCTGAGACAGGCCACAGCATAAGGACTCCACGTTCAGGGAAATCAAAGGACAAAGACTGTGATCCCATTCCTACGAGGTCCCTAGAGTCCCCAAGTCAGAGGGACAGAACATGGGATGCGCCTGTCTGGGGTAAGGACGTGGGGCTGGGGCAGGGGACAGGGAGGGAGTCCTGTTCCTATGTAGTCTTCCCTGAATCAGAGAGACAGAATGCGGGACGTGCCCATCTGGGGTGAGGATGTGGGGGACGGGAGGGAGTGTCTGACGGCCAGGCTTCAGCAGGGAAGAGGGGCGCGCTCTGCAGATGGCGGGCAGCAGCAGCTACATGGCACGAGGTGTGGTCCATGCCACTAACTCCACGCCCCAAATGCTACCTTTTATGTTGTGTGCACCTTGCCAGTTTTAACAAGAGGGTCGTGGGAAGTGCTCCGTTCTAATGTATCACCTGCTGTCCCCAGAAGGATCTAATGTGACTCATAAAACTGCATGGAATGTTTTTCAGTAAGGAAATGAGGAAAAGGAGAAGCCACAGAAGATAGGAAAGGTTCAAGGAGCTGAAATAAGCCCCTGAACCATCCTGGAGGCCCCACGGCTGCTGGGGGAGGCTCTTCAACTGTCCCAGAGGCCCCCTGGCTGCTGGGGGAGGCCCAAAGACATCAGAGATGAAAGGGAGGGCAAAAGGAGTATCTCAGGTCACTCTAGAAAGAGACTATTCTCGTTCTGCTCCTAATGCTGAATGAACACAAATGGGGCAAAGGGCAGAGCCATCATGAAGACAGCACAGTCCCAGGACACCTCCACTTTTCTTGGATGAGGCACAGCACTGCTTCAGGGGCGGGGCCCGGGACGCGGGTTCTGAGGCACCGTTATTCAGGAGACCCTTCTGAATGTTGAAACTCTAGAGCAACTGTGGAATGTGTCATGCTGCGGGGGACGTGGCACCTCTGCCATCCTCCCTGGACCTCCCTCCCTTGAGCTCCCCACTGACCCCTGGGGAAGGCCCCTGGCTCCCTCTGCGAGCGCCCACCTGGCCCCCTCTGGGAATACCTACCTGGCCCACTCTGGGTACAGCCACCCGGCGCCATCTGAGACTGCCTACCTGGCGTGCTCCTCGGGGAGCTTCCTCTGCCTCTGCATGTGGAACATCAGGTCCCCGCCGTTGACGTACTCAATGACCAGGAACAGCCTGTGGAGAGAGAGGCGCTGGAGGCTGCAGTCATCGTGGCAGACGGTGGCCTCCTTAGACAAAAGCCCCACAGAAGCAGGCTTCGTGGGTCCGAACACTTCCGGAGGTTCCATCTTATAGAGGCCTGGATCGCGGGGGGCCAGGGACAGCAAAGAGCAGCGGGACCACCCTGTCGGCAGAAAGGGTCTGGCAGGAACAGGCTGCAGGGCAGCTTGCACAGTGGGCAGGTGAGGGAGTCACACTGGGCCTAGACAGCCTCTGCTCTTGGCCACTGTGCTGTGTGGACCTGGGGAGCGAAGTGTGGGTGGGCCCCAGAGTGAAGGAGGTAGCCTGTCACCAGGTAGGAGCAGAGGTGGCTTGGACCAGAGCTGGGGGCTGGGACAGGATCTGCCATGGGCTGCAGTGACTGAGGCAGTTCCTTACCTGGGGACAGCCCTGCAGGCAGGTGGGGTGGTCTCAAGGCCTAGCTTCATCATGTCCACGAAACTGAGATGCCGCTTCTGCCTCTCTCCCCCTGACCCCAGCTTGTTCCCCTGGGAGGGCTGAGGGGACAAGCTGGGGTCAGGGAGAGGCAGGCAGGAAGCCGAATCCCAGTTTTGCAGACATGATCATAGAATTTTAAGATATCTGTGGATGTCATCAGGACCACGAAGGCGCCCCCGTCTCAGGGACTGAACCATGTGGTTTCTTTTCCTAACAGGGTCTTTCAATTTTCAAAATTAAATTCGAAAGCAGTCTCCCAGAAAGAAACACCTGTGGTGGGCACCTCTCGAGTTTTTAGGCCAGCAGCTCCTGGCTACCCTCGTGGAGTGGGCAGTGGACAAGGGAGGCGTGTGGTGGATCTGCCATTTCCCTCAATCCCACACAAGCTGTTACACCTCAAGGCACCTGTCCCTGCTTCTGCCCTGCACGAGCTCCCAGGATTATGCCAGAGAGGACAGAGGGCAGTTTACACAGAGCATGCGAATGGCTGCAAATCATCCGTGAAGTTTCTGATTAGAAACAAACTCCTAAACATCAAAAGAGCCCTGGGCACCGAGTGAGGAGCTGGAGGCGTCCACGTGGCCAAGGGGGCATCCTGAAGAACAGGCCACACCTGTGGGGAGCAACTCAAGGCTCCATCCTTCGCTTTTGTCTCCCCTGCCTCCAACGGACCGGCCTGAAAATTCTCTGGTAACCTTGCCCTCGCCCTCGGGGACTCGCCAGTCCACTGCTGCCTGTTTTGTAAATAAAGTTTTACTGGCACAAAACCACGCTCATTTGCACACCTATCTGTGGCTACTTTCGGGCCACTGTGGCAGAGGGAGTCACTAACAGAGACCCTGTGGCCTGCAAAGCTGAAAATGCCTGTCGTTGGGCTCTTAAAGAAACGTTTGCCAATCCTTGGTATAAACAAAATGGCAATGACAGAGCAGCCCTCAGTGTGCCGGGAACTGTCCTCAGCGCCTCTGTGGAGGAAGTCGTTCAGTCATGCCAACCCCACGGGAAGGAATTCTGTGAAGGCCACTGACCCCTGGAGGACAGCCAAGACCTAAGAGTTCAACAAATTCTTTCTTTTAATAATTTATTCAAAACCCTTAGAGTAGCCAGGTGCAGTGGTTCACGCCTGTAATCCCAACACTCTGGGAGGCTGAGGGGGGCAGATCACTTGAGGTCAGGAGTTTAAGACCAGCCTAGCCAACATGGTGAAACCCCGTCTCTACTAAAGATAAAAAAATTAGCCGGGGTCGGTGGTGTGTGCCTGTGATCTCAGCTACTCAGGAGGCTGGAGAACTGCCTGAACCCAGGAGGCGGAGGGTGCAGTGAGCTGAGACCGCGTCACCTCACTCCAGCCTGGGTGACAGAGCGAGACTCTGTCTGAAAAAATAAAAATACGAAAAACACAAAAACCCTTCAGGTGATCTCACTGCAGATTTTTAGACACTGTGAGTTACACGCCCCAGTGGGTGCTGGTCCCTTCCGACTGTCCCCCCCAAGAGGGAACACGTTCACCCAACAGCGCTACTGCAGTGCGCCCGGAAGAGCCTCCTCCGCCTCTGTGGATTCATCGTCACTTTATCACAGCCCACAAGACAGGGACAAAGCACACAGGACAGGGCCATTTCCAGGGAAAATAAATCATGAATTCTAGAGAAACGTAACAATAAAATGCCTCAGGAAGCCGAGATAATTTGGGGGACACTTAAACACAGAGAGGAGAGGCGGAGGCTGCTTCTTTTTCCTCTCCAGAGAAAAGCCCATCTCGGGAACTGCTGAAAGCCATTTCTTCTCTGCCGGAGGCCTAGGACCCAGAGCAGCTGAGGGAGGAACTTACTTAATTTCCAACTGCTTAAGATGAAATGACGGGTTTTTTTGTGTGTAGAGATAAATTGTTAATGCTACTTTTGACATTTCTTCAGAGCAAAAATCCACTCAGACAATCTGGTATCGATTCACTCTGAAGGCAACTCTGAGTGTGGCAGAGACTGAGCGGCTGCTGGGACAAAACGCCCGGCACCCATGGCTGAGCACGCACTGAGCCTGCTCCTCTCCTCAAAGGCTCGGCCTACGTGGGTGCCCTGCAGGCGCCATCTTGCGTAGAGGCTCTCAGGCAGGAGCTCGAGGCCAGGCCAGAGGGCGCAGGTGGCTTTACCCATAGCCTCTTGGTGAGACGTGCAGTCCAAACCCCAAGGGACACTGGGGAGTGCGGCCTGATGGGGGCTGGGGCTGCCCTCTGTGTCCAGCCATGCTCGCCATGCTCCTCCCATGTTTGCATTCACCACACATGAAGGGGGAGGACCCACCAGAGCCCAAGCAGGAGGCGGGAAGCACCTTAGAGGTGTTTTTCTGAGATGGGATCCTGCTCTGTCACCCAGGCTGGAATGCAATGGCGTGATCATGGCTCACTGCAATCCTCCCACTTCAGCCTCTTGAGGGGCTGGGACCACAGGTTTGCACCTCCACCTCCAGCCAATTTTTAAATGTTTTGTAGAGATGGGGTTTCGAGATATTTCCCAGGCTGGTCTCGAACCCCTGGCCTTAAGTGACCCTCCAGCCTCAGCCTCTCAAAGCGCTGGGATTACGGGTGTGCACCACTGCACCTGCCTGTCTGCAATACTTTAATCAAATACGCAAATGTGAAGAACGCCAGTCAAAACGGATTCATCAACAACCAGCTCCGGCCTCAGGAACCAGGCGGGATGCTGACTACAGCTGGATCCAGTCCCTGACCCAACAGACTTGGGAAGGGGAGGGACAGAAGCAGCCAGGGGCTGCCAGAAGCTTCCCAAACCTCCCAGGAGATGGCCAGGGGTTGGGACAGCTCCCAAAACCTCCCAAGAGGTGGGCCCTGTCCTTGGTGCCGTCCCCTCCTCACCACTACCCACACCCGCTCCAGGAATGTAAAGTGCCCAGCTCACAGGGAGGAACCGGAGACGTCTCCTGGAGGTACAGGAGACTGCTCTGAGAGTCAGTAAGTAAGGAGCTGGGTCCGGGCCGGCCACCACCATGTGTGTACAGGAAGTTCTGGTGGAACACGGCACATGCAGCCCTTGGTACAGTGTCTAAGGCTGCTTTTGGTTAGAACGCAGAGTTGCCACTCCAGGTCCATCTGTGTTAATGCACTTGACCCCATCACTAGGAAGTAAGTTCAGCCCTTGCCCCATTTTACTGATGGGGAAGCCGAGGCACAGACAGATTGGGTGACATTCTTCGTCGGCTCACACAGCTCCTGGCTTAACAGACCCACCATCAGACAACTTGGGCGGGCCCAGCACCCTCGATTGGAAACCCCACTTTCAGGTCCTGTCCTGCCTCACAGTGGAGAGATCACAGCAGTGACAGAGCTGCCTCCAAAGAGGGAGAAGGCCGGGGTCACCTGAGTCCAAGGAACAGGAGAGGGGACCGAAAGATCAGCAAAGGGGCTGGGCACAGGCTGGTGGCCCACGGGACACACAGGTGTGGCCACAGCACCATCACTACAGGGTATACTGAGAAATGAGATTCCTGACTCAGAGAGCAAGACTCTGGGAAGCTGAGGTGGGAGAATTGCTTGAGCCCAGGAGTCTGAGATCGGACTGGGCAACGTAGCAAACGCCCATCTCTCATAATGATAATAATAATAATTAGACAAGAACTGAAAAAAGTATGTGAAGACTTCAAGAGTCTCTTCAAAGAGGATTTGAGTGAATGAAAAGGTAAACCGGGTTCCTGAATGGGAAGATCCAACATGAGAAGGATGCCAATTTCTCCCAGGTAATGTGTGAACTTAACAACCCCCAGTGAAAAGGGGGCCAGGCCTGGTGGCTCACACCTATAATCCCAGCACTTTGGGAGGTCGAGGCAGGCGGATCACTTGAAGTCAGGAGTTTGAGACCATCCTGGCCAACATGGTGAAACCCTGTCTCTACTAAAAATACAAAGATTAGCTGGGTGTGATGGCACATCCCTGCAATCCCAGCTACTTGGGAAGTTGAGGCTTGAGAACTGCCTGAACCCAGGAGGTGGGGGTTGCAGTGAGCCAAGATTGTGCCACTGCACTCCAACCTGGTGGACAGAGCAAGACTCCCTCTCAAAAAAAAAAAAAAAAAAAAAGAAAAAGAAAGAAAATGCCAGCTTCTTTTATTTTCTGGAGCCAGACAGGTTGATTCGAAAGTTCACATGGAAAAATAAACAAGAGAAAAGGAAAAGCAAGAGGCAAAACCGCCCGGATGGCACTGCTGGTTCGCTCAGGACATCTGGAGTGTGGACCCAGGTGGTTTCCCTCTCGGTGCCCTCCTGCATGGTAAAATGGGATACGATTTCAGAAAGAGGCTGTTTACGTGGTCTCTGCCGTCATCTAGCAGTTAAGCAGCAAAGGCACAATTTCAGGGACATTCCTGAAAGTTTCTTCAACTAAGGAGACCCCAGGTGGCTCCAGGGCTGCCACCCCATTCCTGCCCCCTCCTGGGAACCATACAGGGTGCAGAGGCATGGGACGTTCAGGTCTGGGCGGATGTGGGGGGAACCATGGCCTCATCTCT